TTCCAGCGTACATCGGCGTTGCGCCGTGGCCAGATTTTCTCCGTCAGCTCTAACTTAAAGATGATCTACAGATGCAGCAACACTGGTGTCAAGTTTTAACATGGCGGCCCCCACGGAGCGCCGTAAATTCTGAGGAGGGTGCATCGGAAGCGGCGGCACCTTCCCCCCCCCTGCCTTATACATTCCAGATGTTAGCGCGGCGTGGAGCAGGAATTGGACGCAAGAGCTGCGTAAGCGTTCATTTCTAACTCGGTCCCAGTCAATCTGTTAGTAGCCCTCACTCGGCTTCAAAGCCACTTGATGTATAGAACTCTATCAAGGCGTCTATGTGGGTTGGCGCTTCGTTCCGACTGGCTGCATTCGTTTCGCCATCGACACTAAAAGAGATTGAAAAATAATTGTCGTGAAGTGCACATTCTCGTTTACCGTTGACCTTTAAGTGACGGAGCCCTATTAAATACTGCAGACCGCAGGTTCATTGCCACCATTAGTATAGTAAAAGATAAACTGCCATTTGAGTCACCAGATGGCACTGAATTCTGGAAAGGGTCTATTACAAGCGTGCCAAAGGGCAAAGCTACGTTCACGCGCACGTCATCAAACTTGGCGAAGGCAAGACTGAAGGAAATAGTTCTCTTTTATCCTCGCAATTCCAACACGACCGAGACGCTTCTAAACCAGTGGCGGTCCGTGCGTGTAAGGTCACAAATATTTCAACCGGATATTGTTTCATAACCCCTTCAAATTGTACAACCGAAGGCCCTAGTTGAATCTCCAACTGTACTTTTCTTGTGACGTTTATGCTTCCTTGCACTGGTGACGTGGACAAAACTGACAGGCTTGCAAAGACAGTACGACCGGGAGTTGCTATAGACGTAAGCGGCAGTTCATGTTTGTAAACCGTTAAATGGTCTATTGAAACGGAAGCAGGGAGCCTATGTTCGACAAATGTTTCGTTACTCCTAAAAATAAACGGAAGTGGCGGAAGTGACGATATCGCGTTTGATTGGTTAGAGGTTCAAATGACGAAAGTTACCTATTTTCGCCATTTGACCTTCCAACCAATCAAACGCGATATCGTCGCTTCCGTCACTTCCGTTTGTTTTTTAGGAGAAATGAAACATTTGTCGAACATAACCCCCTTGGACTACTATCAGAGGCATGCTTGCAGAGTACTCACAAATAAAACAGCGATCTCATGTAATCCGTGATAGATGCGTAATCCGATTCGGGCAGCACAGAACTATCCACAAACACAATGTCGAGGATGAAGGCGGTCGCTCACATTCAGCGGAAGTTTCGCGGTCGCCGATGAGCACCTCTCTGTCGCAATAGATGCGTAGTCCGATTCGGGCAGCACAGAACTATCCACAAACACAATGTCGAGGATGAAGGCGGTCGCTCACATTCAGCGGAAGTTTCGCGGTCGCCGATGAGCACCTCTCTGTCGCAATAGATGCGTAGTCCGATTCGGGCAGCACAAAACAACGCAAACACAATGCCGAGGTTGAAGGCGGTCGATCACATTCATCGGAAGTCTCGCGGCCGCCGATGAGCAGCTCTTTGTCGAAACGCGTCCCACAAATACAGCACAATAATTCCATGGACCCCGACGAAATAAACGACCATTTCCAAAAAGTTGGCATGGATGTATTCCGGCCGTTCACGACGAAAAATCACGGCCGCGACTCAAACGTACGAAAAACAGGAATACACTGACGGGCGCCCCCCTTTTTGTAAACCGGACCTACGTGGCCCCTACAACTCGCCATAGCTTGGCATACTGCAAAGACTACGGCCCCAGTAGCCCATCAGCGCGTCAGAGCGAATCACGTGACAAATTTTCGTCCAAGCGTCCTTGTCCTACGGAGAGCGGTCACGTGTTTTGCGCCACCCCTCTGATTTGCTAGAAGTGGCCTTCGCACTCGCTCACAGCAATACGAAGACACAAAAGAAGGTTTCGAGGCTTATCAGAAGACGAGGTCAAAGGGGGTTGGACAAAGCCGCCAATCTCCGTCTGCTGCTTTGTATTGCCACCTGCCCTGCCCTGGGAAGGTCGCGAAATCGGACTCGCCAGGGCTTGCTTTGCGTAGTACAACCTTGAGCGTCTCCAAATGCCACTCCTGTAGACGGGCATGATCTGGTACGGACCGCGAGATCACAAGATAAATACGAAAAACTATTTTTAACGCCGCCGAAGACGCGGTTTCACGTGTACCAAAGAAAGGGAGGCACTCACTTGATCGAATGACGTTTTAGCGAACGCCCACGTTTCATCGAACGACACTTTAGCGAATAGTCGGACGCCGCGAAGCGGCGTTTTCGGGTGGGCCAAGTGAGTTCATATTTTTGTAATGAGTTGCCGCAGACTGTCGCCGCTAAGCGGCGTAAAGCGCAGCGCGGCGGATGGGTTCACGCGCGCCCCCGTTATTCGCTAAAACGACCATTCGCTCAAATGTCGCCGTTCGCTAAAATGTCATTCGCTCTTGTGATATGGACCCCCAAAGAAAAACCGGAAAAAAAAAAGCGTGGGAAAGCTAGATATTTTGGTGTCATTACGCAGAGATAAGAGTCACGTCCCTGGAGGTGTCATTAATCCGGCACTTTCGATTGTCTTGCGACATTGTTTCTTCAGAGCTACACTCCAAAATAAAATATAAGTGAAGGTGCTATAAGTAGTGCGAAACCCAGTCAGGTGAGGTTGTAATATCCGAAATGAGGGTGCCACAGTGTGTTCAAGTCTTCAGCTTAAAAGGTCTTTCTCAGGTTAAAAGTAAGCAGATTCTATTTCGGTTAATCTTGCTTTGTATTGTTTTTTTAACGTCGGATTTTAGACAGTCAAGAAATAGAAATACCTCGCCGGCATAGCCGATTCACGCAGGACACTCTTGACAGACAACCAAAAACGGCGCCAAGTACGGTATGTCAGGACAGCGTCGGCACGACCCATCCCATTTTTCAGATATTGGCTAGACCAAAATAATATCGACACAATCTTTCCGATTTAATTCCATAACAGCGCAATAGTGTGTGCTGCCTAGGTTGTATATTTACGCGTCTTCAATCATTTTTTTTTTTTTTTTGCGAGCGGAGATGATTTTTTTTTTTAATAATCAAGGTTGAACCGATAAAACTGATGCACGCGCGAAACGTAATTTTGGGCTCGTGACGAACGAAGAGTTCAATAGGAGTTGCAAAAACTATTCTCTAGCACTTCCTAATCATACGCGACTCCGTGTGGCGATTAATTATACTCGATGTTCGTACCGCCGTACATCAAAAACAGTTTCACCAAAGAAATAAATATTGCTTTGTATTGTAATAAAGCAATGAATATTGCTTGCATTGTAAACGGGTGATAGGACCACGTCAGGCAGAGATAATCTGCCTTTTGTCCTGTTACCCTTGACCTAGTGTCTAAATAAAAACCAATTCAATTCAATTCAATATGAACGGCTATGAAATCATGGGTGTATTTGACAGCATCACCATTACGCCCCTTTCACACCGTGTGGATGAAGGGCGTAAAATTCGCCCATACACCCTTTTTACACGATTTCAGACACCATCGCTGCAAGTGGGGCGTAAAGAGGGCGTGTAAAGGGTGTAAAACGTCAGCACACCCTTTTTACACCCACCAATATTCAGAAATCGTGTAAAAAGGGTGTTTTTCCTAATCTACACCCTTCTTACACGGTTATGGGTGTTACAATGTTTAGTGTGTATTTGGAGTAAATAAATTAGGGTAAGACACACAAGGCGCTTGAGTGCGTCTCTTTCGGTGTTCTTTTTTTGTGTTTTCGTCCTTGTGTGCTGTTCTTCTCATGTCTAAATAAAACATACATTGAATTTTAATCAGGCAAATCACTTCGGCAAAAATATTTACATATTTGCCGAAGTTCGACATTCGGCAATTAGAAATTATTCGTGCGCTCCGCTATCATTAAAAGTAGTATATTACGGAATAAGGTCATTAAGTTGTTGCCGGCAGAGAGACTAGCAATTATAATGTCGTCATGACTTTTTTTTTGCGTGTGATTAGGCTTTTTTAAAAGTCTATACAGTCATGTCTCGTTAATATGGACGCCTCCTTTCCCCAGAAAAATCGTCCATAATGTGAATCGTCCATAATAACGAATCAAGGTCAAAAACACAAACATTAGGTAATAATTGTTAAAAAAAAAAGCATTGTTTATTTCGCCAAAGAACGAGGAGATATGAGTTTGCACTGACGCTTTCGATCCCACTTTAGTGTCCAAAAAGCGCAACACTTCGGCCACTTGAAATGCACGTTCTCCGTCCCCTTCCTGCTCAAGGTAGGCGATCGCTGTCTCCAAGCCACGGCGAGCTTCACATCGAGTAACGGTTGGTCTCTCTTCTTCATCGGCTGTTTCTGTCGGCGCAAAGTTTTCGACAAGTTGATGGCCCTGTTGAGCGGATTCACCGACAAGCTCCATGATCTGCTCGTCGCTCATAGGCTCCCAGCTGTTAGTCTCTTCGTCTATACCCAAGAATGCCGATGCCTCTTCATCTGGGTTTTTCTCCCCGAGTTGTCGAAGAGCTTCACGAAGGGCCGCGAGCGGAAGTTCATCCATCGGATCCTCCACCTCCATAGCAGAGCTGTTAACAAGAATACCTGCGTGACGCCAGCAGTTCACAATGGTTTGAGGCCTCACCGCGTCCCACGTCCTCTTCAGCTTTTGAAGGCACCACCTCAAGTCAACAGTTTGCGGTTCGTTGTCTTCCGCGCAAGCGATGTAGTGCCGCACAAGTTCACCTCTGTAGTGTGCCTTAACCGCGCGAATAATTCCTGCGTCCAAGGGCTGTATTTTGGCAGTCATGTTGGGCGGAAAGAACTTCAAGGTAAGGTTTTCATAGTCAGCACGAACAGAATGGCATGATGCGTTATCAACCAACAAAACAGCCCTCCTCTTCTCAGCCTTCAAGAAGCGGTCGAATTTTGCCAAGAAGATTTCAAATATCTTTCCTGTCATCCATGCTTTCTTGTTGCAATTGTAGGAACAATACATGTTCGGGTCAAATGTCTTTCCAAAACATCGTGGTCGCTCCGCTTTTGCCACGACAATGGGCTTCCACTTGTGGGTGCCGCTCGCGTTGCACAAGAATCCCACCGTGATTCTTTCTTTGCTTCGCTTGTTTCCAGCCACAGGTTCGGATGCCAGAGTCGAAGATGGGCCCAACTTGTAAAAAAAGCCAGTCTCGTCGAAGTTGTAAATATCATCTGGAGAATACTGAGCAAGAAATTCCGCAAGCTGTTTCCGAGCACTGGCAACGGCGGCTGTATCCACGCTTCCACTCTCTCCATGAATACGGTGGCTTGAAATTCCATGCATTCTCTTAAACCTGCTGAGCCAACCCCTTGAGTAGTTCAGGTCATGAATGTCTGCATAAAGACGTGAAGATTGCAGACATTAAAATAAAACCACTGAAGAGAGAACAGTTATTTTAACGTAGATGCGTAATTGCACGAGAACGAGCAACTAGAAAAATCATTAGAAGAAACAACATTTTTGGGGAAAAATGCGTAACATTTTGAGAAAACATTTTCAAACTCAGTGCTTAAAAAGATACGCTCAGAACTCACTTACCCGTCGTTGTGCCGAACTCCTTCGCCTTTTCTTGCAGCATCTCGGCGGCCCCTCTGGAGCGCATTTCCGCAAACCAGATGTTGACGGCCTCCTCCAACTTCTCAAACTTTGGGGGTCGCTGCCAGCAGGAACTGGAGCTGGCTGTGGGAACGCTCATCCATTTCTTTGATTCTTTTAGAATTGCGTGGACTGTCGATTTTCCGAGATCAACGCCAAAATTTTTTCCACTTCACTCTTTCACGTACTGAACAGACGCTGAAGGCGTTTCAATTTTGAATTTGCATGTCTCCTTTTTCAGCTGAGCAGAAAGCTCTGTCCGTTTAAGGCGCGTTCACACTCTTGCAACCGAGTACGACCGAGAAGGACTTCTTGGGACCGGATGCACTGAGCGGAGCTGGTCCTAAGAGATCGCAAGAGGCTTAAAAACCGGTTTGGTCTCTCTCGGTTGCAAGAGTGTGAACGGGCCTTTACGCTTAACACCTGCCATCGTCTCCACCTCCGAAATGACCGGAGAAGCGTCCAGCCTTGCCTCTTGCCTCTTATGCACAACGAATGTGATTCATCAAGTATGCCAACCCGGAAGGAGATGGCATACGTTTAAGCTTGAAAAACAAGAAACAAAAAAAAAAAACAAAAAAAAAAACGACCATTTTCAGGCGCGCAGGTCTTATCTCAACACTCTAAAAAAAAGGGTGTCATGGGGTACACCCATAGGGGGTGTAAGTGCTTGTCACATATACTACACCCTTTGGGGGAATACAAGTGCACCCCAAATATGGGTGTACGTGTACACCCGTTGGTGTGGTGCACATGTACACCTTTTTCTACAGAAATCTCACTCGAAGGGAACACAGGTGCACCCCATTCGATGGTGTACGGCTACACCTCTTTCTACACCCGCTTCACTCAAAGGGAACACAGATGCACCCCATTCGATGGTGTACCATTGCACCTCTTCATACACCCGCTTCACTCAAAGGGAACACAGACGCACCCCGCTCAATAGTGTACCATTACACCTCTTTCTACACTCACTGAATTCGGAGAGAACACAGATGCACCCGGTTCAAAGGTGCATGGTTACACCACTTTATGCACCCGTTTCACAACTTCATAAACCTATTTAAGACATCAAGGAAAACAGTAAAAAATGTATGCGCCCCGGTGATTCCAAAAAGACAGGTAAACGGACACACGGTATTGTTTTCAAATCTCATAGAAGTTTATTAGACAGCCTATTCCGTAAACAAGTTGCAAGCAATCCGTGATATCTGAAGACGTACAAAGAAGCTTTTACACAACTGAAAAGATTACTAAGCAAAGAAGAACCGGGGGTGAGTCTTAGGTAGTGTCCATTCTGCCAGCAGCCAGTAGAATTATTTCCACAAATATCCACCGGCAGTCGCCGTTAATTCATCGAACGACGTTTCATCGACAGCTCAGACTAGCTTTTCTATTTTAGCTTCTCTCCTTTCTTTTCTTGTAATGAGCCGCCCCAGAATGTATCCGCGAAGTGAAGTGTATGGGGAATGGTGCGCTAACATTTTTGTAATTAGCCGCCGCAGACTGTCGCCACGAAGCGGCGCGAACGGGTCGGCTGGGTCGGTGAGCACGCGCCTCATAGACACACGCGCGACAAAATGTCCCTACAACGTGCATTTTGCGTAACGAGTGACGATGAAACGTTAGTGTTGATGAAACGTGTCTACAAAACGTGCATCGACAAAAACGTGTTTTCACAAAACGCCAGGAGAATAAGAAAGTCAGTATTCCACCTGCAGTTGTCACATGATTGTATACAGCTAATGGCAGGCGACTGCAAATAGAATTTCGGGGAAATTATTCTCCCGGCTGCTAGAAAATAGACACTGCCTAATTCTAGAGGTAATCTGGAACGGAACGGTCAGTTGTTGCAAAGGAGTAGGTTGCAGTGCACTTACGATGAAAATACCGGACTTGAAATATGTAATCCGATATATATGTGGACACGGGCACTGCAGAACCACACAAACACAAAAACGAAAAGAAAGGGGTCCGTGAAGATTCAACACGATGTGGCCGAAGCAGTAATTTGCCGAACCGAACACTAAACACATCACATAACTTCCTTGGGCTTTTTTGAAGAAATCCCGTGTTGCCGATACACGCGTAGGACTTTTCAAACACTGGAGATCTTGGTAGACTCGAATACGTTGTCGCGGGCGAAATATGATCGCAGCACAGCACACAAGCAACTAGGCCGGGAAGCAGACATTCCGAGGTCGAAAAAAGCTACTACGTCATCCGTGAAAGCTTTACCACGTGATCACCTCCTGCCGTATCCGCGCTCAGACAGAGGAGTCGAGGGATAAAAAAAGGTTCATTGGTCCGGCAACTGCGCGCCTTCTTCTATGCTTTCAGCTTAGGGAGAGAAAGAAAAAGAAATGAGTATGAAAATTGCAGCTCCTTCAAGGCCGAAAGGGGCCACCCTCGCAAAGGCTTATCTTCGGGGGCAACCCAACAATGAAAGGATTTGTCGCTTATATCCTCTTGAAAGTTCGACCCAAAGTTAATAGTGCAGTGGATGCTATCCGTGGCCTTGGCCTTCAGGCTGGTGCCGTGCTCTGCCTTATCTCTAGCTTGGAGACTGTAGTCACGTGATCCTACTCGGAGACCCGATTGGCCTAAAACAAGCATAGCGTCCACTCTACTGTCAATACCGAGGGAACACGATAGCTCCATACTTCCTAAGAAACTGTCCATCCCAAAGAGTGACCCCCCATGGGGGAATCCAAGCACAAGCTGATCGGGGCGCGTGGCTAGCGTGGCGGTGCATTGGTACACCTAGATGTTTTTAAGGGAGAGGGGGATGCTCATTGTCGGTGTACAAGCACACTGGCTGGGCAACGGAGGGTGCGTCCTTCAGGAAAAGGGTGCATGTGCTGCTGATGCACCCGACTACACCCTTTTTTTCTTAGAGTGAAGGGCGGAGGACAATAGTGAATTCCGGGTACAAACTGTGACCTCTACGATTCACTAACCTTTTCTTCTGTCGGGTATGTGGACTCGCCTTCAAAGTAACCAGACGGGGAACAAAAAGGCAATGGTGAATTCCGAGTACAGTGAAGCCTTGTTATAACAAAGTTGAAGGAGCGGTCATAATTATTTTGTTATAACCATTAGTTTGTTATAGCCAATGTCCATTTCTGCCCACTATTAACAAGCAAGGGGAATTATGATTGCTTCATTATATCCATTAGTTTGTTATATCCCATTTTGTTATAACGAGGTTTTACTGTAGTACACACTGGGGTCACTAATATTTTTTTTTCGTGGACACGTGTCCATATTAACGAGACAAAAATGCCTGTATTTTCCCGTTTCGTCCCCAAAATAGCCGTCCATAGTCCGGACTGCGGGTTTCTGTATTAACGGGACAGAATTGCATGGCGGGAGACCGGTCGCCGAAAATTTCGTCCATATTGCGGGGTGTCCCGATTAACGGGGTCCATATTAACGAGACATGACTGTAGTAATAATCTTTCAGTAGGCGCGTTAGGTATGGCTCAAGTTTGCATTATTTGAAGTTGATTGAATATATTTCTTTCGTCCTGCGGCAACGTTAAGTGCAGGGTGATTTCGTCGAGGTTACTGGATGCCTGCTACCTTGGACAAATCCCGTGACAGTTCTTAATACTGCTTACTGCAGGCAAGCGTAGTTCGATATTTTATTTTGATTTCCTTGTTCCCATTTGTGCGCTTGGAATGGGGCTCTTGATCTTTATGTTTATTTTGTGTGTGTGCTGTTCTTTTCATTTCTGAGAGAAAATTGAGGGTATACTTCGAGTAAATAAATTAGCGTAAGACACACAAGGCGCTTGAGTGCGTCTTTTTCGGTGTTCTTTTTTGTGTTTTCGTCCTTGTGTGCTGTTCTTCTCATGTCTAAATAAAACATACATTCAATTTTAATGTGGCAGAGCACTTCGGCAAAAATATTTGCATATTTGCCCAAGTTCGGCAGTTAGGGTTGGCGGTCATGTGGGTGTTGTCCTGAGTAGCTAATGTGGTGTAGCGCTCTGTGGTGTACGTTCTTCCTCTGTCCTTGTCTTAAAGCGCACTCATGTTTTTTCACGTACAATACCAACTCGCCCAACAATCAGCACTTGTATATACTAACCTGCTACAGTAGTTGCCCCCCTTTGACTAAGATTTGTTAGTCTTCTAAGTAAATCGGGGTGACAAATTTAAACATGACCGGCGAATACAAAGTGCTTACTAATCCACGATTACCACCAGCCATGTGATAATTTTAGTCAGTGGTGGTTGGTCAACAGTTAAACTAGTCACGTCTGGTAAGTATGGTTGATGCTTTATAATGCTAGAATCAGTGGCCCATCAAATGCTCAAAATGCGTCTTAGAAAAATCTAATATTTCTTCACAGTTTATTTAAATTGGGGATGATATGTTTCAACTTCATATCACATGATTTCCATATTTTTTTGGTTCCAGGCAGGCGGTGCAATCTACCCGGTGGCTGTCAGCTCAAGCCTAAGTAATCCTGAGGCGCCCAGCGATGTGGCAGTGGAGGGAGACCTCAAAGCCGCGTCGCCTGCTGAGGCAGTCCTGGTTGCATTCTGCCTCTACTTCATCTTTGACTACACGTATCATCACCAGTTCAGGCGCAGATTCATTGCACTAGAGTACTTAATTGATCTGAAACACTCAAATGTGGAGTCACGTGCAACGAATTGCTTTCGAACCTAAACGAAATGCCAAAAAGTAGTTTCTCTTTTAATGCCTTTTTATGCAGGTTTAGGAATTTTTTATGTCACTTGTTTAATCCTTTTTTTTTTTGTCTGACATAAGGCAGGATGGTTGATTCTGAGAGTTACAGAAGGTCAATGATATTGCTTTAGAGTCACATTTTTGTAATTTCCGAACTCACAGCGTTTTGCTTTGTGCAGCATTTGCATACTTAATTTATTTCAGTGTACTTCATACTTGGTGCCTCAAAGCATTCGAGGGTTGTGGTTCCATGTTCACACTGATTTGTGCTTGCAAGGTTTAAATACAGCTCATTAGCAGCAGGAGATACGAGCCCTTTCTTCTTTCCACATTGGAAGAGCAAATCCCGGAGTCTGCTTTCCTCTACTCCAGCGTTCATTCCACTACTGTGGATAGGACGGGCATAGTGTACTGCTCTCCTTGAGTTGCAACGTACTAGTCATTGCTAGTCGTGTATTGGTT